CTCTCTCTCTCTCTCTCTCTCTCTCTCTCTCTCTCTCTCTCTCTCTCTCTCTCTCACACACACACACACACACACACACACACACACACACATTTTCATATTCGGGTATCGCATGCACGTGGTATCCGGTTTGCGATTAGACCTTACGGCAATTGATGTAATATGAAACACGACGGAGCAACGGTGAAACGAGTCGCATGATTGGGAGGAGTCCCACGGGCAATCGTCCATGCAACTAACTGGCCTTTAATCACAAGAAGGGAAAGAAGAAGAGATCGTCCGTTAGGGGGGAAGGGCGAGGAGGACGAAGGAAGGGAATGTGCATGCATATATCCATCCATATATACATATATGCATATGCGTATGCATAAATATAGCAGAGAATCCGTAGAGCAGACAATTTCTTCAGCAGTGAGTTGGAATCGCAGCGAGTTGGAATCGCAGCGAGTTTGAACATCGCTCCGGGATAACTAGCTGGCTTTACCCGATAGAACGCCCGGTCATTATAGCTGTATTTGGTGCAACTTTCAGTCTAAATACCGTGATAATGACCGAGCGTTCTATTCGCGTGAAGACGGTAGCTGGCTTTATCCAATCTTCTTACCCAACATTTGCTTTATATAGTCATATAGAACCCCCCGGTGAACCATAGGCAGAGGGGGAGAAAAGGATAACAAACGGGGGGGTAAGTGAAGGAGGAGGGGGGGAGGGCAGCGCTACGGCAGACTGCTTTGTCCGGCGGACTTTCACCAACTCATCAGAAGGCTATGCTTCACCATTGATCAGTTCAGCAAGCCAATTAACTACCGAATAGTTTATTTTTGTTTATTAATAATAAATTAAAAATAATCGAATTAATTAATGAATCGAAAGAAGAGGCCAAGTGGCAGGTCAGCAGCATGCAGGAAAGAGAAAGAACCCCTTCAACGAGCACAGGGCGACACCTGGCAGGCGGATAGAATAGCTGGGCGAGCGGAATATCGGAAGGGCGGGGAGCGGAAGTCAGCGGCGCCGAAGGAGGACGAGAGCATAATCGAAGGTTTAGAGCCGTATTTTATTTTTATTTTATTTTTTATTTTTTATTTTTTATTTTGCGAGTATGCCCTTACCCATAGTGGAATACTTGCACAACAACGCACCTTTTTTTTCGTTTTTTTCGTTTTTTTTTTTTTTGCGGCCCAGCGCCTTAGTTGCGGGAACTCACGTTGGAGCCGAGAGCTATCACGACCTCTGAATCGCAGGACGAGCGAGAAGCGGTGAAGTACCGGTCACCGTCGGCATCAGGAGCCGACGTGTCACTTCCTTGAGTGAACAGTGATGACACGGCATTTTCTTTGAGGGACGACGATGACGTGGCCGTTTCCTCGATCGGCCTGGATGCTGACGTGGCACCTTCCGCGATCGAGGTCGCTGCCGACGTAGCGACCTCGTTGATCGATGTCAGAGATGCAGTAGACCTCGCGCTACTCTCCGCGTGTTGCTTCCCCCCGCCTAGCAACGCTCCCCGCCCTCTGACGAGGCAATCGCGCTCGATTGGCATGGCTGACGGGTCGAGTCCTCCTCCCGCCGTAACAAAACTCTCCCGCCAAATTACCTGGACAGCACCAAATTTTGCTGACGTGGCTGATAAATTATGGTTATGACCAAGATCAGCGCCAGCGCCACGTAGGCATCGTGACGCAGGCGCAAAAGACGGAGAAGCGCGCGACGCTAAGGAGCCAAAAAAAAGGTCCTCGCTTCGCGCGGGGGGAATTCGCCCCTCGGTGGCCGCGGGAGGGTAACCGGTCATCCCCCCGCCAAAATGCGGAGCGCGACGCGAGAATCTCCACACGATCGACGTGTCCTGACGACACGTGTCTCGATTGCAGGTTGCATCGACGTGATGCCATGCAAAAAACGACCGAATCGCGACGCGCGCCATCCCCCGAACTGACGCAGCAGGCGTTGTCCTGATCGCACGCATCACACATACAGAGACGAAAAAAACGCGCGCACATACGCAATCACATCATCTTCCTAAAGTAGACAGCGCAGGGAGAGCTGCGCGCCGTTAGCCTCACTTTCCCGAAACGGAGAGTGAAATTGGCTTCTCGATCTTGCCGAAGCTCTGGCGATTGTACTGGCAGCCGCGCGCCGACCCGATTCTCTCACTGCTTCCCGCCGCGTGCAGGTTTGCCGTGCGCTGAGGCGAGCGGCTCGGCGCGCCCTGGCGCAACACCACCGGAAGGGCCAATTGCGCATGCGCACCCACTCACCCACGAGCGCAAATCAGCGCACCCTCCCCCGTATGGACGCGGATCGGCGCGATTTCCCCCGCTCTCACGGCCGCCGCTCGAAGGATTCCCCCGACGCCAAATAATTGCACACGAAGCGCAACGGACAAAAAGACCAAAGCTTCGAAGTGATTGATTCTCTGTGCCCAGATCCGTTAAAATCAGATCCGTTAAAATTGGAACGATAGAGAGAAGATTAGCACGGGCCCTGCGTAAGGATGACACGCGTAACTCAAAAAATGGTCCAAATTTTAGTTTTTGTGTGTGTGTCTAATAATAGACTACTGGACACTGCACGGCTGAGCCGTCACCGCCACCCTCCACGCTCTCCTCGTTATCGGGTCCTGATCCCGATGAGGGAGGATCTCGGCCAGATATCGCCCGCCCATGAGGTACGGCTTGTGCTGCAGAGAACTGATCTTGGTCAAATCCGCGAAGTACCCCTCTTTCCTGTTCGCAGCCCGTCACGGGTGCTTTTTATACCCCTGACTCAATTTCGTCGTCCTTCGGCGTTCGAAGGGTAGTTGGGAGGGCGGTGAATTTGATGGAAGGGTACCTCGAATAGACCGTGTACGTGTTGCATTCGAAAACAACGCGTACCTTTTGCATTCGAACTCGAAAAACGAAAAACTCTTGTATTCTTTTTTTTTTTTTTTTTTTTAAAGAAATCTTTATTACAACCAATTTAAATGGGAGGCCGTGGACCTCATAATTCGAGCTGGTAGATCCAGATTCTGACAGCATCAGTCAGCTTAGCTTCCAGGCTTCAGAGAGGGGATAAAATCTAGGCACAGCTCCGGCCCCAATCGGGCCTCTGTCCTGTTGCCTCTCTCTGAGCAAAATAAAAGCAAAATAAAAAAAACACGCCTTCAAGGCCCACAAATCCTCACAAGCCCAAAAAGAAAAGGGAAACAATAAAGGAAGAATCACAAACCGAATACTTATCTCTTTCCTGCCTATCTATCTCTCTCTATCCTCCTCATTCCTGTCTGTAGTCTCTACTACCCCTTGTTCGACCACCTAACTCGGTGGTTGGACCGGCTGGTCCCTCCATTCTGTGACTCCCTCTTTCCATAGTCCCCCCGCCTGTCTCCTGCGACCCCTCAAAATCCCGCCAACCGAGTATCCAGGTTCCATTCTGTACTCTATGTAGGCATCCAGCCTAAGCTGTCCTGTTTCCAATTTTGCCATCTTTCCATTTTTGGCCCATGTTTCTGCGAACCATGACCCGCCTCTTTGTTTCTTGTCTTCTCCACCTTTCTCCTCCAGTCTGCCAATATTGATCTTCTCAGCAATTGAGTAAAGGTCCTCCTCATCTGCTTGTTTGTCCATTCTTTACTTCTGAAGACCCTGTCATTTCTTTCCTGCCAAATCACTGTGCAGGGAGCCGCTCTGGCCGTCTGAGCAACATATCCCCATCCTGATGCAATGCTGTGCCCTTCCTGAATGCCTCCCAACAGCACCCAGTCTTTCGTCCACTGAAATACGCCTTCTACACAGAGATCCCAAAATTTTACCCACCACTTCCAAATTCTACCTGAGGCTGGACAGTCCCACCACAGGTGCACAGTGGACTCGAAGGCCCATGCTCGGTCAGCCAAGCTGCTGATGGTGTTGCCACCATGGATAGTAACCAAAGAATCGAGGCCTGTCTTTGGCTCGGAATCAATTTCAGCTGTTGCCAGCAGTTTCGAAGTGCTATTTCGATTTGTGCTGGTTCCATGTCCAGCAGCTGTAGCCATCTTGGACGAGCCACCACCTCTGGGTGTTTCAGTGGAATCACCATACGATACCCGATCTTCTGTGTGTAATTCATTAGGCATACATTCTCCCCCTTTTTCCCTTGTGCTCTCCATTCCCACATCCTTGAATCAGTTCTGAGCGCTGTTATTGGTTTGCCCTTCGCTAGCAGTACCTTGGACTCTCCTTTTCCGTTGAATACCTGAACCTGAGAGAGAGTCGTTCCTAGTCTTGGTGTGCCCTCAGTCTTGTCTCCAATCTGTTGCCCCCCTGTGTCTGTCTCCCAACCTTGAAAAATGTGTTTCCCATCCGGTTGCAGTTCCAGCGGTTCCCACATTTTCGTTTCCTCTGACCCCTCCTGGATATACCATGTTCCAGGCGGGTCCACCGCTTCGGGGGATAGCATGTCCTTCCATTCCCTTGGGACGGCCTTTATGATCTCCGTTAATCGCTCCTCCACCCGCCTCATCTGCCCCAATTTGTCTTTCACTTTGTCTGCTGTTTTCCAGTTCTCTGGGAACCCGTCCCATAAATCCCTTATCCTCAACACGCCTCTCTCTATCCATGCTCTTCCAAAGCTCTGTCCTTGTGAGTCTGCCTCAAACCATTGATCATTTTCTGCCCTTATCCTTGGATTCTCGAAGATTGGACAGCACTTCGACTTTTGTTATTGGCTCCACCCACACATCTGGTCTCAACTTCTTCCATGCCTGCACTATGGCTGCCCATATTGGTGACTTTATCCTTCTCCTCTGATAAGATGGTAGGAAAATACATAGCCAAACATCCTCCTTTCTTGACAGATTCCATTCATCAGCTAACAATGTCTCCGCCAGGAACACCCAGTGTGGCACTGGGTCTTCCAGGCATGCCCGGACCACCCACTTTACCAACATTGCTTCGTTCTGTTTGCTTGGATCCACTATGCCGAGTCCCCCTTCGTCTCGAGGCAGGCACAACATTTCCCATGCCACTTTCGTAACGAAGGCATCGTTGTCCTTTGCGACTGGTTTCCAGATAAATCTTGCCGCTTTTCTCCTTATCAATCTGTATGTAGCGTCTCCAACGTTTCTTATGGCTCCCACAAACCACAGTAGCGCAAACAGAGCTCGGTTTACTACCAATGCTAGCCCGAAGATAGAAAGATGTGGCACTTTTTCCCCATGTTACTAATCTGTGCAGCGACTTCTGAAGAAGCATGTCATCTTGCGTAGCTGAGCAATCCATTAGTGCTATTTGGACTCCCAAAAAATGTTCTGAATTATCCTGTCCTATCCGTCTCATCCCCCATTCCACCTCTAAGTTGAATGCTGCTGGTAGCTAACAAACGGACTTATGTCAATTTATGGCCGCTTCTGATAGTTCCGAGAACTCATCCAAGTAACACTTTAACGCAGCTAATGACTTTGTGGAGTTCTCTGTGAAGGCAAACAGATCGTCCGCTAGATCCTTGACCTTGTATACAGTGGGTCCTGTCTGCATGCCTCTTATCCTAGGGTGGGCTCGGATGTCGTTGAGAACAACCTCAAACTGAACTGGGAACAGCAGGGGAGCCAGCGGGCACCCCTGACGCAGTGACCTTGTTAACGGAAACTCATTAGAGACTTTGCCATTAATGATAACTGCAGTTGTCGACAGAGTGTACAATGCTTTCACAAAGCCAATAAAGTTATCCCTGAAATTCATCAATTTCAGTGTTGAGAGGACGTACGACCAATTAACTTTGTCGTACGCCTTCTCTAAATCAAAGAGAAGTACTGCAACATTCAGTTCCTCCCTTTGTATTACTTCGAGGGTCTCTATTGCTGTGATTATGTTATCAAAAATGGAGCGACCTCTGACGAAAGCCGCTTGGTCATATTTAACTAGTTCCGGTAAGTGTCGTCCTAGCCTTTGAGCTAGTACTTTTGCCAGTATTTTGTAGGATGCATTCAATAACGACATTGGACGCCAGTTCCTTATTTCTGACCGGTCTCCTTTTTTGTACAGAACAGAAATCACACCACTACACATGCTAGTTGTCAGCCTTCCTCCCGTCTGAACACTGTTGTAGATTTCTGTCAAGTGCTCCCCTACTGCGTCCCAGATTTCTACATACAGTTTCATGGGCAGTCCGTCGTTTCCGGGGGCTTTCCCCTTTGCCATAGCCTTTAAAGCTTCGTGTGCCTCCTCTATTGTCACCGGTCTATCCAGATCTAACTTGAAGTTCCCCTGTTGGGACAATCTTATCTCTGTGTTATCCCAGTGTCCGTTCTGATCATAGAGGTTTGTTACCACGTATGAGCCTTGATTCCTTGATGTAAGGATATCTTTGTAGTATAAGGCAGCATAGTTACACAGTCCAGTTAGCTCCTTCGCTGTGGTGGCGTCGTTATCAAATGGGTGTTTGAGTTCTGTCATGTGAGTCACTATTTTGCTCGGTGTCAGTCGCTGAAACATTTCCCGAGTCATGCGGGGTCGTAGACCGCAATTCCTTTCACCTTCAGTCTGTCCGCCCAAGTCTCTGACTTTTTAATCTGCATTTTTTCCCACTCCTTCATCAGTTTTGCTCTTTCTCTGCCCCACACCAACTCTGAGATTGGTGGTCCTTCATCCTTTCCTCCGCCCTGACAATTTTCCGCTGAATCTCTTGCTCCTATCTTTTTCTGTCCCAAGCTAAGATGCGTGAGAAAAAAACATTGAGCAGGTTCGAGAACATCTTCACCCCTACATCCCACCATTCCTCTGGCAAGAGGTAGTGTTGTTTCGCCCTTCCCCAATCTTTCCAGAATTTCTTCATCCATTCCTTCAACCCTGGGTCCTCTAAGTTCTGCGTGTTCAGTCTGCATAGCCCCGACCCTCTTCTCATTTCCCGGTTGAAATTTTCATGATTACCGGCTTGTGATATGACAGCGACCCCCCTGTCTCTTTGATTGATTCCACTGAGTTCCATAGTGATTCCGAGATTAAGAAATAATATAGCCGTCTTTTGATTATCCCGATCTCTGTCCTCGGGTTCGAAAACCATGTGTACCCTGGGGAGTCTGGATGACTAAGCTTGTAAGGGTCTATTACTTCGAACTCCGTCATCACGTTCATCAGCATCTCCTTATCCATTGCCCTGTTCTGGCCTGACTCTGTGAGGTCCAACGTCAAATTTCAGTCTCCTG